TGCAAATGTTTATAGTGGTATTATTTATAACAGCCAAAAATCGAAAACTAATGTTCATAAACTGGTAATGGATAAACAAAATATACTATATTCATACAATGGAATACTACTTACTACTCAACAATAAAAGTAATACGCTATTTAATATAAGTAACAACATGGATAAACCTCAAAAATATAAGTAAAAGAATTCAGACACAAAAGACTACATTATTATATGAATGCATTTATATGAAATATCCAGAAAAGACCAGTCTATATGGAAAGAAGATTTATGGTTGTCTGCAGCTAGGGTGGAAATGGGAATTGACTGCAAATTGGCATGAGGGATCTTTTTGGAGTGATGGAAATGTTGTAAACTGGATTACAGTGATGATTGCATAAATCTATAAATTTACTAAAAATCATTGAGTTGTACACTTAAAATGGGTGAATTTTATGGTATATAAATTATACCTCGATAAAGCTGTTAAAGAAATACAAGGCAGTTGTAGATGAGAAGAGGAGTAAGAAAAATTTGGCTTTTTCTGCTGTCAGCTGTAAGCCAGATATCTAGTGCTGACTGGCCATGGGTGAGTGCAAACACACTGTAAAGGACGATTCCCTTGCCTTGACTTTTAATTGATCATAGCAAATCCATCTACCAGGAATCAGTCCAATCACTTGCTAGCAATGTTTCTAGAAACTGATATTCCATAATGACCACAGTGTGGTTTGACTCTCAAATATCTGCTAGAATAAGTGAATAGGAGAGTTCACATGAACATTATCCATAGATAACATGAACAGTTAATAATTTCATTGTTTTATTATAACTGTTTATAAGTACTAACCCTGCTTAATAGCTAGTAGTGGTATTAATAAACAATGATATACCCAGAAGGCTACTGTGGATAGGGTTATAAGAGGGAAACATATAGCAAAAGCAAATAACTTTATAACTTCTGCTTGTCAAAATCTCACTCTGTTTTTAAGGGCAAGTTCAAATTGTACCTCCCCCAACAATTCTTACTCATTCCCTTCAGTTGGTTCTAATCTTCCTCATTGGTGCCCCCAAAAGATCTCGAATATTTATTTAGGTATTTAATACGTTAATGCATTTGAAAAACATTTGCCTATAAGAAACTATACTGAGGACGACAAAGATGAGTAAGACATTACTCTCAAGAGGCTCAAAGATGAGTGAGTTGCCTTGTAGTATAATTATTATGTCTCTCTTCACTAGGAATGTTAAGTTCTATGAGGGCAGAGATTTGGTTTTGCTCATTACTGTATTCTCAATATTGAGAAGAGTGCTTGGCAAATAGTGGGTGCTCAATAAATATCGAATATGAAATTATGTAGTTCTTTGGACACATATTTTTTCTTATTAAATTATTACAAAGTATATATTTCTTGGGGATAGGTGATTTTTTATCTTTCTTACAGCGCCTGACTTAGTGTCTTACACATAGCAATATCTGCCATTGAATTGAACTGTAATTTTCAATTCATCCTTAAGTGGATTTGCTAAATCATTAAAGTTTGCAGCTTCTGTAAGCTTAAGCATAAAGAACCACCATTGTGAATTATATTTATAAAGTCTCAGAAAACTCTTTCTTTTAATGAGGAGAAGACGACAATTTGAAGGATTAAAAGTAAGAAAATTTTAGAGCTGAGTCAGATTTGGCCTTGAAGAATTCACAGAACAAAAGAATATTGAGGGGAATGGGGAAAATCTGGTAGAAGATAGAGACTAACCTTTAAAATAAAGCCAAAATAAAATATGTTCCCCCATTCAAAAAGAGAAAAAGAAAACTCTGTTAAATGAGAAACATGGTAGTTACTCAAGGCTTAACTAGATTAGTTTTTCCAGGAATGGCAGTTTCTCCAATTCTTTGAGCTACTACTCAGGTACAAAACAGCTAGAGACACTGATGGAGCATGGCCCTTCCAGAGCAGTGCCTCACAAGCCTAGCTGCACATCAGAATCACCTGGGAGCCTTTTAAGAAACACTGATGCCTGGACCCACCCACTAAGCTTCTGATTTAATTGGTTTGAAGAGGGACCCAACAATCCATTTATTTTTTTCCTTCGTATGGTCTCGATTTCTTGTCATTTTCATACACGTATGTTTGTCCCCCAACAACCACATTTCTTAAAAATTCCTCAAGTGATCCTACTGGGTGACTGGGGTTGAGAAGCACTGCTTCAGAGGAAGAAGGAAGAGTATGATTAGGAGAAATGAAATTTTGCCATGGAAAGGACAATTTTGCCATGGAATAGGAAGTGTTGGATTTTAGTCCAAACTCTTGGTAGGTCATTAATTTCTTTTTTTCTCTGTCTCTGTATTCTCAAAAGCAAAATGAGATCCAACAAGTCTGTCAGAAACACAGAAAAAGAAAAATGGCTATGAAGCCCTGTATGGTCATTAAGTATTATGCAAATATTTAGGACCTTCAATCTTTTAGGTCTAGTTTGATATTTTATACAGAACCCCACACAAAAAATGCTAACAGGATCCAAGTGAAAATTTGTATTTTCATGTTAATAAATTCAAAGTGGAATAAAGAAGCAATTAGAAAAGATGGTGGTGATTCCCTTTTAATGGGAAATGGTCCTAGAGAGATGGGTTGGTGACTTTCAGAGGAAAGGCCCTTCATTAACTCTCATTTTAGTTAATTACTATGTTCACAAACTATTTAATCAACATGAGAGGACAATAAATCTCAATTTCCTTGCTAAAGCAGGCTAGGAATTCTCAGCCAGAAGTAATTTAGCACCCCAGATTTTCATTATCTGACTAAATTTGCCCTTTCACTTTAGAGCTCTTTTGAAAGGTCTTCAGGTCCTAAATTAGCTCCTGCCAATGCTAAAATACTCTATTCCTTCAAGGCAGATGCCCCCAACACCCAATTTACTGCTTTTAAATATAAATTCATAATAAAACATGAATTGGCCTATCATGATAGATCGTTAGTTTAAGTCAAGTCAATGTCTGGACCGAACTTTAAAAATAAGTCTGGTCAAAAGAAAGGAGTGTTTCCTAATGCAAGCACTATGCTTGCAGCACTGGGGCTAAAAAATCCACCTAAATATTTGCAATCAATTTTTTGAAACTATAATTTTCAACAGACCTGAGCTGGTACTGAGTAGTGTAGAAGTACTGTCCTTTGCTAATGATGAGTCTTTCCCCCACAGCCAAGGGAACTGCTGCTATATGAACAGACTGAACTGAGTTCAGAGAAGCTGGCACTTTCAGATCTCAGAGCCCAGCCTTCCCTCAGCTGCAGTCCACAGCCTGGTTCAGAGGTCCGTTCAGCTTTTCAACACCCAAGACAAAGCAAAAAAAAAGTCTGGTGATAAGAATTGCTTTCTGCCAACTTGGGGCAATGCTATTCATGCAAGAGTTCCTACACAAAGACTAATGACTAAGAGAACTGAGACAAGTATTAGCAATCCTATTTCTTATTTTCAGTTATTGAGTCTTTAAAGCTACAGCATTCTTATAACACATACCTCCGACAAGCTTCTCTATTCATGAGGCCAGTAAGGTTAAATAATTTGTCTAATGTCCATGGAAACCTCTGAGATAGGACCCATACTCAAGACTTCTAGCTCCATGTCTACCATACCATGCTTGGCAAGCCCTCATGGAACATTTTTAGTGCCAGATCAGTTTCCTGGTCATGGCCAAATGGTAATCATTGTCCAGTGGAAAGGGTATTGGGCTGAAAATGAGAAGACAAGGGTTTGCTGGCACTGCTCTGTGTGTGTGTGTGTGTGTGATCTTTAGAGATCTGGTCTCTTAACTAATTTCTGCTTTAGTTAGTCCATCCCACTTCCTGGCAAAATGCCAGATGCTGAGTCAATTCTACCATCTGCCTCTTCCTGCACCAGATGCAGCCAGTGTTGAAAGGTATCAAGAGGGTAGTGTTGACTAGTGCCTCTGTAAATCCATGGTCTCCAATATCACTGCTACTCAAAATATGCTTAATCATTTCTTCCTGAATTCTCTAATAATCTTAGTATCAGTCTTTTTCTTCTATGCTTTCACCTTTCCAAACTATTTTTCATAAAGAAGACAGAGTCCTCTCTTTCAACATACATACAACCATGTCATTGCTCACAACCCTTTAATAACTTCCCACTGCATTGTGAATAAAAACTCATTCCATGCCTACAAGGTCCTGCATGTTTTGGCCCCTATCTCCCTCTCTGACCTCATCTCAGGCCATTCTCCTCCTTGCTAGTATGCTCCAAGAAGACAGTCATCCACAGGCTGAGAGCCCTTGTTAGAAATCTAACTTGCCAGCACCTTGATCATGGACATCTAGCCTCCAAAACTGTGAGAAACTAAATTTCTGTTGTTTAAGCCACTTAGTCTGTGGTATTTTGTGACAGCCACGCAAGCAGACTAACGTACTGCCTGAGAGTTTTTAACATACGCTATTTCCTTCTTTCTAGAGCCTCCTCTCCCCTCTTCCTCCTTTTCTTCCTCTCTTCTCTTTCTTTACATTCTTACTTCTCACTCCAATATGCCCTCCAACCAACCGCTCTAATAAAACCGCTCTAATAAAAGTTCTCCCAAAGGCAACCAATATTACCATTTTTCCAAAACCAGTGGATGTTTATCATCTTATTTTACTGGGCCCTCTCTGTCACATGTGACAGTGCAGACAGACCCCTTAGTTCTTGAATCCTCTACTTCCCTGGCTTTGATTTCACTACTTTTTCTAGGTATTTCCCTAAACATTTCTTTAAGATTTTCTTTCTGAGCTGCTTAAATGTTAGTGTTCCACTGGATTTCATCTTTGGCCCACAGCTCTTTTCTATATTTTACACTCCATGGGTAATCTCGATCATTCTCCTGGTTTTAACTCTAATAATGTGCTGATGATTACCAAATCTACCTCAGTCCTCTAAAGTAGATTTAAATATCCAACTGCCTTCTTTGGTTCATCACACCATATGTTCCCATGGTTCGTTTTTTTTCCTTCCTCTATGCAAAGATACCTACCTTCCCTTCTTTGAAGTGCTTCTTGAGCTGCTTCTGCATGGCGGTCAACTTCTTGGACTGTACCCCACTGTAGGCCAGCAGCATGCCACCAAACTGCCTCTCAGTAATTCTCCCATCCACAGGGTCATGGCGTTCAAACTGAAAGGGAAACACAGAGTGTTCCTGAGGTGAAATGAGAAGTATTTTGACATGGAATGTGGAATGATCAATTGTGTTGGATGGCAGAAAATAGCTGATGGCCAGGACTGTATTTTTGAACTACAATTCTCACTAAGATTTGAAAAAACTTATCAAAAACAGAAGATTTGAGTTCTTCAGATCTGCCACTAAATATTTATGTCTTGAGGAAAGTCACCCAACTACTCTGGGCCTCAATTTCCTCATGGATAAGACAGAGCAGCTATAACATCTCGTACACGTTACAGATCAAGAGCATCCTTGTGGGTATAAAAACAATGTTAAAACTCCATTCAAATTCAAGAATAATATTATTGATAATAAGTGCTCTTTGGACCATCCATATCTGTGCATCTCAAAGAAGACTTAAAAGTTAATTAACATAAATTTGATCAATTATATGTATTATTATACACTTAGACCTTTAAGGATTTCAAGTTTTCCCCCAAATGGTAATCAAACGCTAGCACATCAACAAAGCTTGAAATGAAATGTACAGAGTATGGGTAGGACACTTTAATTAGACATGCTTACTTACCACAAAGACACTGGAAAAAAAAATCATTAAATATATATTTAAATATGCAGATGGAAGGTTAAATATAAAGGATTTCTAGCTAATCTAAGTAATATCAGAAAATGAAGGTTTTAATTTAAAAATGAAAACCAGAACATTATCTCCATGTCAGCTGCAGTGTTAATGATACTTACAAATGCATAAATAGTAAAATGGCTAAAGATGGGCCCAGAAACTAATTAGAAAGCAAAATGATTTGAAGATGGTAATATTTCCCCATGGTCTGATTAGAAAGTAACAGTTACCAGGAAACTCTCAGATTTCTGTATGGTGGGACATAATCCTGTTCTCATAAGAGTACGTATACATAGACATAAGATGTTGCTAAGTAAGGTCAGGTCAACAAACACTTCTTGAGTGTCTACTAGTTGTCTGCACTGTGTTACATCTAGTGGGGTACAGGAAAGAATATGATTCAGTTTCTGTCCTTAGGGTCTTCATCTAGTAGAAAGCTAAAACTTTGAGACACAAAATAAGGAAGTATGTAGTCAAGAGTGAAATTCTCTTTCAATTCTCATTTCCTCAGTTAGCTGGGTCAGTTGATATACACCTTGTTTCCTCACTGGTGAGACTGTGTAAGTGAGCAAGACACAAGAACTATATTTTACTGAGCATGTACTCTGGGCCAGGTACTTCACCATATATTCTTTCATTTAATCACTATAACAACCCTATGGAATAAACACGATCAGCTTCATTTTGCAGATGAGAAAACTGAGGCAACATGTGGGAGAGCTGGGATTCAAACTCAGCTCTGTCTGGATCCAAAGACTATATCTCAATATCAGTGTTTTGTCCTTCTAAGCAGTGGTACATATTCATGCTATTGGAAAAAACTATGTTGTTTTAGAAAAACTTATACAGCCATGGGATTTAGTCATATTTAAAGTGAGAAGCAAAATCATTTCCAAAGAAATCAACACCATCAATATAACTGAAAGCCTCTTTTTTAACTCAGCCACTTAATATTTCATCTTTGTCATACCATCACTTCTATGGAGCTGATTAATTTCTGACAACACCAAAAGTTTTCAGGATTCAATTTAAGTTTGATTTGTGATTCAATTTACCATCTTGTAACAAAATGGAGGGCTAGTAAAATTTTTGCAAATGGGCATACTTTCCGCAAGTTTTAAATCAGATTTTTGTGAAATGTGGTACCTGGGCGAGAGCTGGAGATGCATAGTTTGTCTACAGCTTCTTTAGGGCAAGTGAAACAGACCTGTGGTTCTGCTCTCCAGTTTAGGCTTTAACAATCTAGGGAGCTCATTTTACCCTTATCTGGGAGATGTCACAGCTGCAGAGAAATCCCACATATTTGAATTAGATGAGTTTTAAGCATTATTCCACAAGATAGATTTAAGGTTGAAATGTTTCTTGTTCATAATGTTGGCAGCAGCAGCAGTTCGCTCAAGACTTATGAAAGATGTGTATTCCTCTGTTCGCTATACGAGCATAAAATCTCATCACTGTTACACTTCAAAAACGGTAAAGACAATTTCCAGTGGAGATCTCCAAGAAACAATGCCAATACTCAAGTTAGCATTTTTACTAATGTGCTTTGAAAACTCAGATTTCTCTGTTTCTATTATTATTATTGCTATTATTTTGATGTGGTTCGAAACTGAAAAGGCTTAAAAACTATAAAATTCAGCTCAAAGTTTACTAGCTCCTCTGTAATTTGATTTTGGGCAGCAGCTCTCCTTTTAGGTTTTTAGGCTCTTTTGAGGCAAGACTACCTTATTTCTGAGGTCTTAAACATGGCAAGAGGAGGCGAGGGAGAGTTGTTTTTCTTTACACAAAAAACTGCAAATGAAAAATGATTTGAACTAATGTTTTATTCGTTCGACATTTATTAACTTAAGACCTACTGTGCTAAGGCTGGAGAGCTTCAAGGAGAGTTTCTCAAAGACTTTCATTAGGATTAAATTTTCAAAGGCAATAGCTAGACATCATGTGGCTCTAGGGATGAAGTGTGTACCTTTTTTTTTTTTTTTAAGTGTGTATCTTAAGCCTATGCAGTCCTGTGGGTATATCCCTGAAGCATCACATGCATGTAATTTACAAGGACATGAAAGGGTCTTTGGGGAAAACCATAGGTTATTACAAAATGATCAATGTAGAAAGCTTCTAATTGTATATTCGGAAGCAATTCAAATGATGGCTTGTATTTTACTTAGCCAAACAGTGATAAAGCCTCTTTATGTTCCACATCAATGACAATTAAGAAATTTCATTCTATCTGATACTATTGCACAGAAACTGTGCATTCTAGTATATCACTAACCATATGCATTGCTTTTCTGTGCCTAACAGAGCTAAACAGCCTAGGATTTTTTCTTCTGCAGCCCTGCCACTTTCTCAAATGGACACAAGCTGTTGTCTCTCTGTCGTTTCCCAGGCGGCTGCAGAGTAGGCAAAGGAGGACAGAGAAGAGGAGCCAAAAAACTGTCTGCAAGGTTTTTCCTGGCTTTCTGTCCATATTGTGCCTCTCGTTCCCACCCCCGCCCCTTGTTGAGAGAAGAAATAGCCTTTTGGAAGGACAGATGGTCTACATATATCTAGATGAAATGATTTAAGGAAGATGGGAAGTCAGGAAGAGAAGGAAACATGAATTATGAACAAAGGTTAAAATAAGACTAGAAAATAGTAAAAGGAAAAAGGAACCAGTATTCAAGTAGGTCTTGATTTATTAAAGATTTCTGAAGTTAATATATTTCAACAAATGTAAACTTCAATCTTATTCTCTTTCATAAAACTATCTTTCAGGAGATGTCTTTCCCTCAGAGTAAATCCTGCCCTTATACAAACATTTCAGAATGAGAATTTTCTTGATAGGCTTTTTCTAGTTTCTGAACTGTGTAATTCAAGTAATGCAGAGTAATCTCAAGCCACTGCACTGAACACATCTATATTTTTCAATTTGACACTGTGGCTTTTGAGAGCTTAACCTTGCCACTGCTGCTCAGGAGTCCATGCTAGGAGTCTCAGAAAAACTGTCTGTTATGTTCCTCAAAAGGAAAAATGATTACAGGCAAAGTTCTCTACTGTAAACCAATCCAGTGAGCATGACATACACATGATAGTTTGAATATGAATCTCTGTCTTCAACTGGCAGGGGACATTAGAGACTCAGGTCAGATTGCCTGGAGCCTGAATTTTCGTTGTGTATCTTCAATATAAGATGTACCTTCACTGTCAACACTAATATAGGTGTCTTTTGGCTAACTGGTGAGGTAAGGAAGAAGGCCCACAATTTGGAATTGAGACAACATGGTTCAGTGCCCTCAGTAAGGGCCAAAACAATCCATTAGAGTCTGGGATCATAGGATTATAGATTACCAAACTAAGATGCTAGACTTTTCTACTTCAAATATAAGGATACTTTCCACTTAAAAACTGTTTTTAAGAAAGTTCAGGCTGGTGATCTTCTCAAGTGACTAAATGACATGAGTACCAATCATATAATTAGACCAGGGAAAGGTTAACTTTCCAGTCTGATAGTCAAAACCAGGAATATGACAAGACTGATGCATGAAATTATTAAAGAATAAAAATCAGGGTATATTTAACTGAGGGCGTCAGGGAAAAACATTTTAGATCTGGAACAAAGTTTTCAAGGTTTAATGAGTTTTGATTTTATTCCACGGATGGTAACACATTAAAGTGACTAATAATATGGGCTTTAGAATCAGCAAAGCTTGGGTCTGAATTCTGCCTTGAACCTGTATTTGCTGCAGTGACTTTAGGCAAGTGGCTTACTCCCTCTAAGGCTTCAAAATCTTCCCACCAAGAAAATGAATATTTACAACTTCAAAGTATTGTAAGAATTAAGAGATAATATATGCAAAGAAATCAGGACCAGTCAAGATGGCAGAGAAGGTAGAGGCTGTACATGCCTCTTCTTGTGACCACTCCAAAATTGTAACAAAACTACCGAGCAACCAGCATGCAGTCGCCTGAGGTCTGGCTGACTACGAATAGGGACAAAAATAACAGGTCACCTCAAACTAGTAGGAGGGGCAGAGACACAAAATGGCCTGGTCCCACAACCCTGTGTGACTCTGAGCTTCAGCACTGAGGCAGCTGCTTGAGGGGTGCCAGGGACAGATGAGGAGGCACTGAATTGTTGGGCTTCAGGGCAAGGGCTGGAGGGGTGGTTTTCTCCAAGACAAAAGTGTTGGCAGTACCCATCATTCGTTTTATGAGCTCTCCCCGCTCTCAGCCTGTGGACTCAGGTGCCACCCTATCTGAGTTGCCTTCACCTATGTTATCCAGGTGAAGGTGACTCCCAAGTGATTCCCTGAGACTTCACCTCTCCCAACTTAGGCATTCGCCCAAGCTGCTTCCAGTGGTTTATTCCATACTAATAGCCTGTCCTGAA